CATGTACCCACCTTCCCAGCTCCTATCTGTCTTCCTCAAAGTTCATTTCCACAAGATCCATGTCATTCTGGAGAACCTGGCTGCCTTTCCCCACTCCACAGATTGCTTCTGTCCTCTGACTGAGCTAAATTGTGCAGCACATTTTATCCCCAGCCCACCGCTGCCTCACTCCGGATCAGGATTGACCCATGATGGACACATGACTCTAGACACCCAGTCACAGTGGAACACAGGTCTGTCTCTGGAAATGCTGGCAGAGACAAGGTGTCTGGTGTTAAAGAATGAGAAGTGTAAGTTTGCCCAGAAGTAATCAATGCATTTAATTAATACTCATCTCTTAATGCAAATACCTGTTAGCCTAACATGTTTATATATCTAAGAACTGTGCTTCAGTATGAAAGAGAAAAAAAATCCCCTTAAAAATAAAAATAATGTAAAGGAAAAAGCTCTAATTTCTTGAACTCATCGACCTCTCATGAAAACAGAAAGAGTTCTATCCTGATTACGCTGATCAAAATGTTATGATTTCCTCACCCGTAATACGGTACCAACAATAAGATGAATCCACCACAGGTGATCAAGCACTCCGTAAATGTCAATAGTTTTCCTTTCTTCTCCTCCACATTTGGAGGCCTTTGTTCTTTAAAAAAAAGATTAATGAAATAAGTCAACAGTCAACAGTCCTTGTAATAATCTTTCTTGAAGAAATAAGAAGAGATCTTCCATCTTTCATGATGATAAAACTAATCCAATTTCACTGTGCTGGCACATGCTTTCAATCCCAGCACTCTGGCTGGCTGAGGCAAGAGAATCCCAGATTTTAGCCCAACCTGAGGAGCTTAACAAGACTTTTCACAAAATAGAAAATAAAAATTGGCTTCAGGTAGAGCTCAGTGCCAAGGCTCTGGTTCAATAGTAAGAACTACACACACACACACACACACACACACACACACACACACACACCCATTTATTGAGTTCTCTGAAATGCCTACGGCTTGAGACACAGATTCATGTGAAAGCATTGCACAGAATGTAACAGTTTGCATCCTGTTTCTACACATCAGAGTGAGAAAGCGTGGTGTAATATTCTTTGCCACACAAGTAGAAGATCAAAATAGCACACAGATACACAAGCACTTGGTTTCTTGGACCATTACATTTACACCAAAAAGTGGGAAATGAAGATAATATAAAGGAAGAAGCTCTAATTTTGTCTTCAAAATTCCTTAGATAAGTTTCGTAGCTTGACTACTTGTGAGATTACTCTGAATTTAAGAAGTGGTGTCACTCCTATTCCATTGCCCTAAGTCCCAAGTCACTAAAACGTTCTGTTACAAGACTCACACTGCAGAACCTCGTGGACTATGACTGCTCAGCCACTCTGCTTTACTCCTTTATCTTTAAGCTGTTTCAGTGTGATGAAGACCCCCTCTTTCAGCATTTGCAAATTCTCCTAATACTGCGTAGGAAAATGCATTTTTGGTGTCTCAGTTAACTGAATGACTCCATTAGCAAAACTGTTAACTACCATATAACAGTTTATTACAGAGATTAAGTGCGGTAATTCAAGCGATAGTGTAGAAAACTGTACTGAGTCTGTTTCCCAGCTTAGCTATGTAATAGCTGTGTAAATCCCCACCTCAGCTACCAAGAGGATAATTATAAGATGTTCTTTGCCAAACCATAAGCTCTTTTTTGGGACTAAGAAAGGATCCCACTAACATATACCTTGACACAGCTTACATAGAAGCTACTCTGTGCTCTATTTCAAGGAAAATCTAGAAACCAAAGTGTACATGTAGGGAGTAGAGGTTAAAAAGTAAAAAAAAAATAAATACAGGTAGAAAACCTTTCACTTTGTAGCTAAAATACATATATTTGAACCTGGCTGTTATTGTCAATTTGGTCTTCAACAATTCATGTAATCTCCCTGAGTACAACTTACATAAAGGAGATTACATTACCAACACTGAGATAAACACGGGCGTGCACACATCACTATGATATGATGCCTTTCATTATTTCCAGAAGATTCCAAGGCAGAACTGTTGTGAGCATTAAAGAAATTAGCAAAGTTTTAGATAACAAAGAGATGTAAGGGATCGACTTTAGAATCTTCTATTAGGAGGTTCTGAGTATACAATGGCTGAAATTACTCAAAATATCCAAGGAGAGGGTAATACTTCACTTACATAAGTATAAAACTGAAGGGTGTTTTACAAGACTAAATTGGATGCTCTTGAGCAGCCACTCTGAAGATAGTGCATATCTGATGCAAGGGAGTAATTGCAGATATGAGATCTGAGAATTTGTAATTGACTAATAAGGCTCAGGGCAGACAAGCGTAGCACTGGAACCACAGGAAATGCAAAAAAGTAATCATGGGAGTCTAGACAGCAGCAGAAGAAAAGAAGCTGTCACAGGCAACTAAGTTAGATAAAATTATTATAGGCAGTCAGATAGGAGTAGGCCCTCAAAGGACCCAGCGCAGTCGACAAGATATCAAGCGACTGTGGAAGAGACCAGTATCTGCCCTGTGGGCCAGACCTCAAGACAAAACATAAAACAAATGTGCTCACATACTTCTTAAGGATAAATATCATGAATTGATATTCTAAACAAGTATCAATCCTTAGGGAAGCCAGGAAGAGCCACTAACCCAACCCCTACAGGAAAAGACCCTGTTCTATATTCATGCCAGCTTGATACATGACTTGTTTCCCCATTTGATCCCAATTTAATCCATTTTACCTGAGTGATTATACTCATAATTCTTATAAGTGGACCATAGTTTTGTCCCACCTCATGCCAACCTTTGTGATTTCTCATTTCTCCTTAGTTGGACCTGTCTTATGTGGATTTGCTCAATAAAAATACCTAGGAAGGACAGGGTCCTTGGAAAGCCATTTAGGACATTGTCTCTTTCTCTCTTGAATGGAAGCTTTCTTTCCCCACAATAAATATATTCTGCTTTTAACTTCCTTTGTTCTTAAAATTCATTCTTTGATTTTAGAGAACCCAAACTCATATTAGACATCTAGTAGGTTGGGAGTTTCTCTCCTCTATATCAAAAAATTGAACAAGACAGAATATACATGGTCTCAGGGACTAAAGTTTTCCTGTACAGTTTGTCCCTAAGAAAACGTTGTAAATTAGCATCCAAATCCAAATACATTCTATCTGAATTGTCATGTATGTGACAACATGGCACTAAATTAATGAACCCTTTATATATTTGTGTTAGTGGTATTATTTGCCCAATTCTTCACCATCCCTATGTACACAAGCCTACCACATTACCACATGTGACTTTTCAGTTCCTCCCACCACAGAAGCACAAGTATTTCTGGTCCCTTGGCTTTGCCTTTGGCCAACAGAGAGATGGGGGTGACAGTGTGGCCATTCCAAACTTAGGCATTAATGCAACTCCCTTACTTTGCCATCATTACCATGATAACAGCATGCTGGACTGGCCCCTGGGCTCTGAAAGATACATGCAAGAGGATGCTAACCCACCAGCCTAGGTCAGCAAACTCCAGATATGGGAGAAGATCTAAGAGGCATCTCCAGCCAAAACACAGTAGATGTGTACGGAGATAAATAATTGCTCTTTTATACTACTGAGTTTTGGGATGACTTATCACATAGCACTTTTCTGGTAATAGCTACCTAAACATAATGTTCTTAGGAGGTGACTTGTTTTTAAATTATTGTCTCCATCTGTTCAGGCATTATCACCAGAAGGGCAACCACTCTGTGCTGTCTTTCAGACACCAGATTTACTTTACCAAAAAAAGGTCTTTGATTCATGGCATAATACACTGACAAATTACCTAGAGAAACAAAGACAGGTGGTGTGAGTACTGAAATTCCGTGTCCAATCAAAAGCAATATTAAGTAACCAACAGTGCCAATTGTGTCTCCCTTCTCTTCTTTGTTTCTTTCATGCACTGTAAGACTGCCCTACTGATTCTCCATTCAGTTGCCCCTAAATTCCTTAACAAACCTTATTTATTTTGTCCTCAGTAGATAGCACTTATTAGGGAAAAATGGAAGTGAATAAGCCATTGTTTTCAACAAGATCATTGGCAGGATCCTAATTACTCCTCCCCAAGGCCACAGTGTTTCAGTCCTCTGCAAAGTCCCCACCCAGTCTTCCCTGGAACTTTTCTCTAGAGCAGATTCTTTCTCCCTGGGACCTGTCTTTACTACTAATCAAATAATAGACAAGAGAGGAGGAAGATAGATCTATGGAGAAGATTACAAAGCATTTAGAAATTGTACATTCCTAAAAATGGTTCCTATCCCAAAATTCTTGCACTGTTACGAATGATGGTACCCTACCCTGACCTTGGGGAAATCTGTCATCTATTTTTTCCACACAGGACTGAGCTCTTTAAATCTTCAGAACTTCTGGCTGAATTTAATCAAACTCTGAGGCTGTGAGTCAAGCAAATCAGTGTAGTCTTTTGTCTGGAGTTGAAGTTTGCATCTCTGAGACACCTAGTCTGCCAGCTCACTTTCTGCTCAGAAATGTCTAAACCCCATAGGAAGTATTCTGGGCCAAGAGAGGGTTAGAGGCAGAAGCCACAGGATTCCAGACAAAAATTGCCTCCAGCTTCTACGAGACTCAAGGGAAGCCTCCCGGTGTTTGAAACAGGCTGAAATTGAGGTCAATAGCTTAAATTTGCCAAAGAGGTAGCCTTTTTTTTCAAGACTTGATTTTCAATAGAAATTATCTCACAGGAATGATTCTATCATAAAATGTTGAATTAGATTAGTACAGGCCACCAAGTCTTCTCTATACTTCATACCAGGTCAACCCATAATATAAACATGACTTGATTGCTTTAATATTTGCCCTCAGGTCGCTCAACATGAGATCCCCCGTACTTTACCAAGGCTATAGCCATGAAGCAACTTCTCATAGCTGCATGTTAGGCATCATGAGAACAGCGCCTCTCAGCCAATGCTCTGACTCTGTTAGCATCACCCACCTCGGAGTCAGAAGCTCTGGAGGAGGCTCAGCAGGCAGCTGTGGACAAGTCTTCCAGGAGAGTCTTGGCCATGTTACTATCTGAAGGTCCCCAATTTAGGTCACCTTGAGCTGATGTTCTCTCCAGCATTTCTGCATCTGCCTGCAAAGTGAAGAAGTCCACTTGGATGATCTTAGTCATCATTTATACCTCTATTATTCCATTATTTTACTCCATGTAATATATCTCTTCCCTTGATTTTTTTTTGTTTAATTCCTTGATGTCACAAGGAAGATTTGAAGAGCCACCTGGTGGCTTATTGCTATTTTCACCCCTAGAATACCAATAATTATAATAGTCACACCAAGCAACCATATGGAGGAAGAAAGTTAATACTATTACAAAAATAAATAAATAACAGAAAGGTATAACCAAAACAGAATCACTGTCCTACTACTTCCTAGTTCTGTCTAGAAATAATAATCATCATGATAACAATAAGTATCCTGGGGCATTTATTTAAATACATTCCCCACCAACAGCAACCAGCACTGCTTGCTGAAGAAAAGAGGAGTAAGGATTATACCTTTAAAATTATGAGAACTAGACAAATAACTTTCTGTAACATATAAGTTCCATGTGTACTATGGACCCCAACTCAAGAAACAAATAAAAAGAAAACATAAAAAAATGAAACCATCAGGAAAATTTGAATCTAATTCTATTTTTTTAATGTATTTAGTACAGGGTCTACAGGGTCTCACTATACCAATCAGACTCCTAGTGATCCTCCTGTTTTTAGCCTCCCAAGCGCTGGGATTAGAAGTGCATGCCACCATGCCCAGTCTCATTCATCCTCTCAGCACATCCTGGGGGATGGGGCCGGCATGGCATGCCAGGAATTGAACCCCAGCTGCTGAGCTCTGCCTCAGCAAGTGCTTTAGTCCACTGAGCTACCTGGCCATCCCTTGGATCTAATTCTCTATTTGATATTTTCTGGGGCAAGATAGTAATGTAGCTTTTGTTATATCATCTTTTAGGTTACATTTGAGAATACATATGGATTAAATAATTACATCAGAGGTTTCCTTTAAAATGATGCAATTGCAACGGAGCCAGAGTCAGCCAGTTGAAAGCAGCCTAGAGTAGAGTCTGGGTAATGGAGTAGAGCTGGGTAATGGATAACTCTCTATTTTGCTGTATATTTTAAATGTCCCATAATAACTAATTTTAAAATTAGTAATTTGAAAATGAAAGAATAAGAAAAGAAATCTTTATTCAAAAATAAAGAAAAAAAGCCCAAACAATGATGCCAGTTAGCTCTGTTTCTATTATAAAGAGGGAAGCATGAACAAGGTCTCAATACCTCCGAAGAAATACTTGTTGGTGAGACTTTGTTCAAGCCACTGAATGTTCTCCTTGTCTCTCCCTGGAACCCACCCTTGGCTTCCCCTCTGTGGAGAAGTCTTCAGGAAGAGAGAGTCCATGCTGGGAGATAAATGCTGGGAGGAACACTCAGTGCAAGCATGTGGGCACCCTGCAGGCATCCAGCCTCTGTTCTTTCCATAAAAAAACACTCACAGTGGAAGGAAAAGAAGCAACGTGACAAATAACAGACACAACTGAGTCCCTGCTGTGCTCCCTGCTCTTGTGTTCAGTGTATACACTGAGCCCACAGAGTAAGCACGGTGGGTGATTCCCTGGGTTTGTCTGTCTTGGCTCACGAGGAAAGATCAAGAGCACACCGTCCTCAACAGATACGTCCTTTACTCATGTCTTCAAAGAGTTGTGTTGACAAGACAATGGAATTGTGTCATTGGTGATTTTTCAATGAAGTGAAAATTAAAACGGTGGTGAGATAGTTTTCTTCTATGAAATTAATGGATCAAACTATTATGACATTCTTCCATGCTGGCAAAGATGAAATGACATTGCTCATTAGAGCTGAAATTGGTACCTCCTCTCTAGAACTCAACTTGGCAATGCGTGGCAAGTTTCATTAAGAGTAATTGTGTTCCATGGGACAGGAATCCTTCTTCCAGGAATTACGAAGAACAATATTGGCAATATCTACAGAGTGTGCACACTACACCCAAGGACGGTTGCAAACCACAAGTTGCCTATATTATGTCACACCCATATGATCTACTGATTTATTAAAATTATGTGTACAAAGAATATTAAATAAAATAGAAAATTCTCTTGATGAATAAAGAAGACAACAATGTATGTGCATTGAGATGTTCACTACATAGTCTCTATGTATGTGTAGTACTTACTGAAAGTACCTAAGCTAAAAATTTAAGCACAGATTCATGAATATTTCTTATTTTTGCTGTCTACTTTTTTGATGTGTGTCATTTTCTGCAATCATAAAAATAATTTTCACAATCATAAATTTTTTAATATTTCATTCTTATAACATTTCTCTATCACACATATTTATTGCAAACTTCCTTTAGTGATAAAGACTCTGATAGCAGAAACAAAGCATGTCATAGATGAATTTAGAATAGTTTCCAGAGCATGCACTTCTATAAATAGTTCTTAAAGGCTCAGTTAAAAACAATGCTGTAATAATATTTCCTTGCCAGAGTCATGTAGAAGATATGTGAGATGATATATGAAAGAACACTCATGAATTTTTAAATTCAGAGCTTCAACTGTATGCAAATTATTGAGATACCACAACTAAACATGTACTGTAATGTATGAAATGGTACAAAAATGTGAGTGATTCTTGGGAATTACTTGAAGGGATTCTCCAAGCAGGCACTGAGTTTTGATATCTGATTTCTGCCACATGCCTCTGGGGAGTCCTTACGAAAAGAAAGACTGTGCAAGAAAGGACTTCATCTGCGTGGTGAATCACCCTGCGGATCCTCTCTGCTTTTTCTCACCCGTGTCCTGACATTATCTGTCTGCCAGGAAGAGCTGAGCACTTCTCTGAGGACAGCGTGCTCTTATTATCCTCAGGCACGGTACCACTGCTCCTTGGCCCCGGTCTCAGCATGTTTGCCTCTCCTTGAAGCTGGCCCTTGCCTTTGCCACCACCCTGCTACTTCTCCCATTCAACTTCAGAGACAGAAATACAGCTTCCAAGTACAAAATTAAATTCAGAAACAATAGCTCTCTACTTAATTAGAACACAGGATGCTCTGGGCTGGATTTTTTGTCCAAGACATTTGTCAGAAGACAGTTTGGAAGAAGCACTGATGCCACCAGAGACTAGACTGGGAGCTCAACTCAGTGACTAAGGCAGTTCCTTCCTTCCTTGGGGTTTAAACGTTTATACTCATTCTGCATGAACTCAGGCACTTATAAAATTGTAGACTTAAATTGGTTTGGCTTGTCTGATAGTTAAAAGGGACTGACTTGTGCATACAAATCATGTTAAAGGTCATGTCTTAGCTTGGAGGTCATACACAATCCAATGTTCTCTTCCCTTTAAGAAATTTCTTTCATCCCTGGAAACTTTCCTGTGCAATGATTTCGCTGTGTTTTGAGTGTCAGTCGTGAATAGACAGAAACAACTACTGGAAAGTTCTGTATCATATTGCAGCATTCTACCTCTGAGTAGCAGCCCTTCTGTTGTCATGGTTACATTCTTCGGAACTGTACAAAGTGAACGTTTTTCCTGTCCAGCTATTTCCTGGTCAACTAAACATTTTATCCTCTCCCTTTGCTCTCCACCTCTGTCTTCCTCTGTGCCCTGTCATCTTCTCTTCCTCAGGCAGTTAAGGTGACACTATTGCAATGTTTTGAGTATAACTGATGGACTACAAAGTTTGACTCTGGGATTCTGCCTTTATCATTTATTAGCTGGACCACTGTCAGCAAAGCATTTAGTATTTCTGTTTTATAATTTTATTGAGAAACAAATATCAATGAGACAGTTTCACAACTGATTACTGGCACATTTACAGTAATTAATACATTGCATATTATTGACTTAGTGGTTATTCATTGTACAAGATGCTGACCTGATATCCTGTCTCAAACACTATTAGAACAAACCTCTCTATTCATCGAATTAAGAGAGTGGAGCTGTGTATCTATCCTAACTATTTTGAGTATACAGATACAAAAGGGTCTTTCATTTCTATCCCACATTTTGGTTAGTTTTGTCAGAGAAGGGCATTCCACTGTCCTTTCTATTCTTAACATTAAATATTTATTGGTGACAAAAACGATAGTGACAGTACAATTTCCAATGCTTTCCTCATTCTGCCCATTCTTCCGGGGCACTCTAGTTTGCCAATAACCTTTGTATATTGTACTCCCCAGTCAAGAGGAATAAAAAAGTGCTAGACAGTAGTCCCTTGGTATTTCATGGATTGACTTTTGTAGACTCAATCTTTGGTGGGTTTTCAAAAATATTAATCCAAATTATTTATCACAGATTTTTTTGCTATATCATGGCATTTTGC